CTCTTTAAGAGCTAAAAGATGAGCTTCTCTATATATACACAAAGATTTTCTTTCCTTCTACCAATGAGGGACAAAGTGCATTAGTGAAATGAACTCATTCAAAATATCACTTCCCTCCATTTCTTTTCCCACCATTTTCCATTCACACCTCTTTTGTATTTAATAAATAATAACGAAACCCAACAGTTTTAGTAGTAGAAACGTCTGTGCTAATGCATCACTGCATTTTAGTTTTACTATAAATGTTAATGCACCAACGCTAAGGCATTAGTATTGCGGCATCTAAGGTAGATAAAAGAATTAATCACTTAATTATCTTTTTTGAGAAAAAAATTAAATATTAAATGTTTCTACGAAATAGAAAATCATCAGGTTGTTAATATTTATGACAAGTATTACATCTGTCCTAGTATGACTAATTCCTTTTGCGCAAGATAAACCTTGAGTATGTCAATTCTGACACTATATGTAATGACTCGATCGGTCGTTTTACTTTTTAGATCACTATTTCCCTATTTAAAACTGCTCGTATGTGCTATTCCTATTTTATGACTTGCGGGGATAGTTGGTTTGATTTTGAAAGGCTTGGGGTTGAATTCGGAACACTTAGTTCCATAATAGTGGTCTAAGATGGCCAAATTGGACTTGAGTCAACACTTCTAGTAAACTACCTCGGAATCGGGATTTGAAAATTCCAATAGGTTTGTATGATAATTTTGGACTTGGATGTATGTTCGGTTCTAGTTTCGGGTGAACCAGGAACGTTTTGGGCACTTATTGTTGGATTTTGGTATCTTGAAGGTTTTAGAGTTTTCTAAGTTTGATTTGAAGTAGACTTTGGTGTTATCTACCCCCATTTGGAATTTTGAGCCTTGGAATAGGTTTATATAGTGATTTATGACCTGTGCGTGAAATTCGCGTCATTCCGAGTTATTTTAAGTATGACTCGTCGCGTTCGGAGTTAATTGGGAGAAATTTGAAGTTTAGAAGTTGATTAATATGGTGTTGAGGTGTAATTCTTGGTTTCGACGTTATTTTATGTGTTTCGAAACTTCGAGTAGGTCAGCAGTATGTTCATGGACTTGTTGGTATATTTGGACAGGGTCCCATATAGCTCAAGTGAGTTTCGGACCATCCGGAGCAAAGTTGAAGTTGGCAGATGATGGGTTTTCAATGTCTTTGCCTTATGTTTTGATGATCTAACAAACTTACTGTCAAGAACCAGATAGGGAACCTGACACACTTGGTACACATTACAAATGAACGAATTCCAGCTAGGACTCGAGCTAATGTGAACTGCTGCAAGTGTAGAAAATAGAGAAACAAGTCAAGGACTTGATTCCTTGTGTGTCCCTGACAGCAGTACGAAAGTCAACTGTGCACAGCTAGAAAGTGACTGCCTCAGAAGCAGTGCGCACAGCGCAGCAGTTCTGCAGTCACTTGCCTTTGACCTACCAAGTGCTTACATCATTCAAGTGATGTCATCAAGGGTGTATCAACAAGAGCATTATAACAAAAACATCACTTGAACACTTGGGCATTCACTTCAAGCATTCAAGTCTTCTGCAAACAGTGAACTTATCTCTCAAGAGCTTGAAGAACAAAGTTAAACGCTACTACGGACCAATTCCTAAATCGAGTATTTGTTGTCCTTAGTTGAGTTGTAACTTTGTGATTGTTCTTATTATAATTCCTAAATTGCTTAGCTAGAAGCGTTGCTTAGGAATCCCTTTATAAAACCATAAACTTTCTGAGTTTGTGTTGTGACTAGAGTTAGTCATAAGTTAAAGTCTTTGTAACTAGTGAGTGACAAAGGGGCTTGTGGTAAATGTATCACAAGTTAGTTGAGTTGAAGTCTTTGTAACTAGTGAGTGACAAAGTGGCTTGTGGTAAGTGTATCACAAGTTAGTTGAGTTGAAATCTTTGTAATAGAGTCATTACAAAGTGGCTTGTAATAGTGTGATTGCAAGTTAGTGAAGTTGAAAGCCTACAAGTGTAGGTCGTGGTTTTTGTCCCCTTGAGTGGGATTTTTCCATGTAAAAATCTCGTGTCTCATTTACTTACTGCTTTATTAGTATTCTCAGCGGAAACTCATAGAGGACCAGGTACTCTATAGTTTGGTGAATCCATATAAACTATCAGCAGATTTTGCTGGTGTGCTGGTGTACTTTGCGATTGCGAAGGACGATGGAGAAGAGGCTTGAGGTTTTCTCTTCGCGAACGCGAGGAGAGCCCGCGAATGAGAAGCAATCTTCGCGAATGCGAAGAAGGATGAGGCTGGGGGGAGGGGGGCTGGAAGGCAGTTAGCCTTCACGAACGTGGCTATGGGACTGCGAACGCGGTTGTGGGATGGGGCCTGTGCATCGAGAACGCGACCTGGGTGTCGTGAATTTGAAGAGGAAAATCTGGGCCGAGGCAGTTTGGCCTTCGCGATTGCGAGGACCTTAATCACTTGGCAGAATGTATTTTTATTTCGGGACTTAAGCTCATTTCTCTCACTTTACTTGGGTTGGACGATTTTTGGGCTCTTTTCAGGGAGATTTTCATCAAGCATTATAAGATAAGTGATATTTACTAATTATGAGTTAAATACACGGATTATGGGAAGATTTTAACATAGAAAGTGTAAAATTTTGGGATTTTTGTTGGAGAACCTAGGGTTTAGTAAAAATGGGATTTGACTACGAAATTGATTATGAAATTAGGAAAAAAATTATATATTTGAGTTCGTAACGTCATGGGTAATATTTATCCTATAATTTTCGAAGTCCAGGTATATGAGTCTGGCATTGACTTTTGTGGACTTTCTGAGTTGGATTGAAAAATTACTCTAATAGTTAAATTATAAAATTTTTAGAATATAGTGATTAGTTGCACGACCTTTAACTAGTTTCAGGTTGCTCGGCATCAATTTGGGGCGACTAGTGAGGGTTGAGAGCCGAGTAGTGGGCTTGAAAGTGAGGTAAGTCTCTTGCCTAATCTTGTAACAGAGAATTATCCGGTAGGTATTTTAATTGTTGTGTGCTACTTGTTGTGGGTGCTACACGCGTTCGAGGTGACGAGAGTCCGAGCGTATCTAGATTCATGTTTATGTCCAGGTAGATTTAGACCCACATCATGCCTTAAATGTATTATTTTAACTAAACTTGTTTGTTTGATTATTTCGATTTTATGACTGAGGGTGAAACTAGAATAAATACATTGATCGAGTCTATTACTTTGGATTTGTGAAATATTTGATAAACGGTAGTTCTGTATCTTCTCGACTCGCACGTATCTTCACAAGTGAGAGAGTTTCTCTATTCTTATGTGATCGGACTGTTTGCCTTGGTAGGGTTGTAAATTATTCTTATGGGATCAGGCCGTTCGCCTCGACAGTGTTGTAAATTACTCTTATGGGATCTGGTCGTTTGCCTTGGCAATATTGTGAGTTATTCCTGTGGGATCAAACCGTTCCACTTAAGATTTGATTTGGTATTTGTATCAGTTGATCTTGCGCCTTCGAGGCAGGTTATGGCATTTTAGTAATTTTGTAATAATTCATGCTTGGGAAATTTATTATTAATGTTTATCTGTCTCGTTACTACTTGTTGTGTTCCATACCTATCTACTTTGATCACTAGTAAGTGTCAAAGTCGACCCCTCGCCATTATCTCTTCGAGGTTAGACTAGATACTTACCGGGTACGCGTTGATTTACGTATTCATACAACACTTCTATACTAATTGTGCAGGTACTGAGACAGATACTTCAGGTGGTCATTCGGATACGTAGACGCATTACCGGGGGACTTAGTGGTGAGTTGATCTTCATGTTTCATTATGCACCACCAGAAGTCTTCTTCTTATCATGTTATAATTTCTATCTATTTCATTTTAAACAATGGTCGTAGTGGTTTTGTATATTCTACTAGATTGCTCATACACTTGGGACACCAGATTTTAGGGGTTCTAGTAGACGATCACGGTTGTGCTTGATGTTATTATTGTTGCTTCACTTATGTTTTATTCATACTCTGTGACTTAGTAAGAAGAAATGTATGTTTCCCGTGGTTTTAAATTAGATTCCATGTACTCAATGAAATTCCTGATTTTAAAAGTTAAGAATGGATATTTAAGTGGGATTCGTCGCTGGCTTACCTAACGGTATCGTTAGGTGCAATCACGACCTATTGTTGAATTTTGATCGTGACAATTACTCTCTGTTTCAATACACAAATATTATTTTAAATGAACTAAACTTTACAACTTTTAGTTTTTAACAAATTATTTTTTCTATCAAACTACTTTTAACTACTACCTTATAATTCTTTATTGTCATTACTAATTTGATGTAATCCAAATCAATATTGAACTTCACATAATGCAATCCGAATTAGTCTGGTTCTAATGCGTTATCGGACTGGGTGGAAACAAAAAGCAATCTTTACCTAAATAGTCAGTTTGATTTAAGTTGAATTCTGCTAGTCATATAAATTATACATAGTTATACACATAATATATATTCCTTCTGATTTTAATCGATTTTTTGGCCTTATTTTTTGTAGTCCATAATATTTGATTTTTTTCAGATATTAAGAAAGAATTAATTTTCTAATTTCAAAGTTGTCCTTGGACTAAAGAACCTAAAAGTATTTGTTATATTTTGAATGAACATTGATTTTATTGTTAATTAATATTAGAAGGAGCGGCAGAAGTATTTAGATTAATTGTTTAAAAAACGCTAGCCCCTACGCCACCGGGTCCAACTCTCCATGGCTTTTTCTTTTCACATAAATCTGTTACACAATACGATTTTCTCTCTACCCACTCCCCATCTCACACTACTACTGGTCTACTGCTTTCTGTAGATTCTTTTAATACCCATTACCCTCCCTCACTCATTTCCTTTCTTCTCCAATCTTGTCTTTTCTGCATTCTTTTACCCTCTTTATATATTCCACTTTCACACTTCTCACCAGACAAACAAAAAAAA